CAGGGACCTCTCTATAGAACAGAACTCCTGTAACAGTGCCTAGCATGGAGTAGATATTCAATAGATATTTGCTGAATTAATGTTGTTGAAATAGAAAATGAAAGGAACGAAGGATGACTCCAGGGATTTGCACCTGAATGAAGGTGCCACTTACTGAGGTAATAGTGAGGGTTTTTCAAAATGAAGATTTGGGCCCTGGCTCCAAACCTCCAGCTGGAGCTCCTGAGCTGTTTTGTCTATTCTTCACTCCCTGTGGGGTCCACGCAAGCCTATGACAAGTCCAGAAGCCTGGGGGTCTGGGCCCACTTCTCTTCCCATGGCAGAGAGGGAGAAACTAGAGGTGGGCACAATGGATTCTCTCAGTCCCTGAAATCCAACGTGACATCAATTTGATTTAAGCCCCACAACTTAGATGCTCCTGACTCTGTGCATGGCTTGTGGGTCAACAATTGGCCTCCTAGTTCAAGAGACAATATTACGAAGTGCTGTTTTTTTCAAAAGGCAAAAAGAAAGCAATAAAAAAAAGAGGTCCCCGTTTTCCTCATTCCTGCAGATGCCCAACCCGGTTGACTTGTTGGAGTGCATTTTCTGCATTCTTAATAGATAGCTAGCAGGAAACGCCTTGCACGGCCCCAGCAAGAGGGGCAGGACCAAGCAAGGGGAGGGTCTGAAACCCCCAGCTCCTTCTTTGCGAGCATCGAGCTGCACTGAAGTTGGCCAGGCGGTTCTGGCCAGCTTAACACACCTTGTCCCAGAATCTTACTCTGCCTCAGGTGATGGTCGGGAATTAAGGTAGGAGAAGCTGGGACCTTTTTGAGGGGAGGGGGATGGCAGGCAATTCTTCTGGGAAGGAATGGGAGGGCATCACATACTTTGTGCAATGAGACACACCACTCTATCTGGTCCCTTTGGGGCTTTTATTCCAAGTGACCACTGTGACAACCCTTCTAACTTGTGACCCTAGCCCCTAGGTACCATTTTGCAGAAGTGTGGTCCATGCAGGCAGGCTGTAGTAGAGTTGAGGCCAAATTGCCGATTTCAAATTCTGTGTTAAAAGATGTTTGTGGAAGCTTGAAAATATTTCGATGTCCACTCGGAGCACTTGGTGTCTTTATATTTTGTGTGTCGGGGAAGGGGCAAACTGTCTGTAGTGTGTTAATGATGTCATTCTGACAGCAAAGCGGGCAAAATGTGGCTGTGGGATATTGCCTGTAAGAGGTTTTTGCTACAAACCAGGCACTGGGACAGAGCCATCCTCTCGCCGAAATCGCTTCAGGTGTGCCCCATCCTCTCCCCAGGCTCCTTCACATCCCCTTGCTCCGTGCTCCAGCATCCCTCTTTCCTAAGCCAGCTTCACCCCATCAATTCCTTCATGAAGAAAGCTAACCGGCACATAGGGCTCACTGGGGGACGGAGCTGGTAACGTTTCTGCAGAGGTGCAGCGAGCTGCAGTTCTGCGCAGGGCTAGGCCATATGGCAGTCTTCAGAATTTCAGCATCTCTCTAAGGCAGACCCTTTCCACTGGGATCCGAGTGCAGCCAGGGAACTGCTTGTAGCTAGACCCGGAGCAGTAAGCCATGGGTTTCCTTTGAGTGTGTATCTGTGTGTTTGAAGGGGTGAAGGGAGGGGCAGAGGCAGCACTTGCAGTTTCTTCTGGACCCCCAGTTGCTCACCATCTGAGCCCTGCAAGGTGATGGGGCTGAAGCATTTCCTCCCAGTGGGCCTTTCTTGGACCTGTCTTGCCTCCAGACAGTTGACGTGTGGTCTCTGTGGTCTCTACCAAAGGAGCCTAAGAGTTGCTTCAGGCTCTAATGGCCCAAGGTTCCTGCCAGCCCCTTCTCTTATAGCTTCAGGGACAAATAGTAAAGATCAGTTAGATTACAAGCTGTGTCAAGCCAGAGCCAGCTGAAAACAGTGGCCGCTGACAATTCTGAGAGTAAGAGGTGAGTCCCACCAAGGTGCTAAGCAGCTCTGGAAGCAGCAGAGAGGCACCCAGGAGAAGCACCAAGGGGATGGGCTAATGTCCTACCTGCATTCCCTGAAGGAAACAAGATGGCAGGTTTAGGGTCCTGGCACGAGGCCCCATATGGCTTAGAGGCCAAACCCCTACTTTTGACAGATAGGGAGACTGAGACCCAGAGAGAGGAAGGGACTATTACTGCCACAGACGGTGGCAAAACCAGGACTAGTGGATAGTGGGAGGAGGACAGACTTTGGAATCAGAGAGATCTGGGCTTAAATCCCAGCTCTGCCACTACCTGGTTGTGTGGCCTGGGAAGTTTATTATTATTATTATGTTTACCTTCTCTAAGCCACAGTTACCTCATCTATAAAATGGGGATAATAATACTGACTTTGAGGACTATAAAGATGGGAGAAAATATATGCACAGCTTCTGGCACATAGTAGTTATTCTGTAAACGGTGGCTTTAAAAAAAAGTGCGGCCTCCACACTTATCATTCATAGCACCTTTGTCCCTGGGTGGTGTAAATGGGTTAAACACACTCAGCTACTAATCAAAAGGTTGGAGGTTCGAGTCCACCGAGGCACTTTGGAAGAAAAGCCTGGTGATCTACTTCTCAAAAATCAGCCACTGAAAACCCTATGGAGCACAGTTCTACTCTGACACACGTGGGGTTGCCGTAAGTTGGAGTCGACTCAATGGCAACTTTTTTTTTTTAAACACATTTGCTTTATTTCTACAACTTTGAGGGTCTAAGTGTGTGCTTTTTATTGAGGAAAAATTTACCCACAGTGCAACGCACAGTTTAGGTATACAATTTGATGAGTTTTGACAAATATATACATCCATGTAGATCCATCACCGTCATCAAGCTGGAGGACTTCTTCCAATACCCCAAGAGTTCCCTCATGCCAGTCAAGCTCCACCCACAGGCAACTGCTCTCCTGGACTTCTCTCACCATAGATTACTGGTGCCTGTTCCATATAAATGGAATCATACCATATGTGGTATTTTGTGCTCAACATGTGCTTATTTTGCTCAATATGTTTTTGAGATTCATCCATGTTGCTGTATGGATTGGTAGTTTGGTCCTTTTTATTGCCAAGTGGTCTTCCATTGTATGAATGGGTCACAGCCAGTTTATTTATTCTTCTGGTGATGACATTTGGGTTTTTTTCCAGTTTCACAATTATGAATAAAGCTGTTATGAACTTTCATGTACAAGTCTTTGTGTGGACATATGTTTCACTTCTATTGGTTATATGTACCTAGAAGTGGGATTGCTGGGTCATATGGTAAGCATATGTTTAACTTTATAAGAAACTGACCATTTTTTAAAGTGGTGGTTCATATGTTTTTTGAACTAAGGATACAAGAAATTCATTTTTAGGTAGTGTCTGGTTATGCTTAGCATGACTATCAGCCAGTGGGGAACAGAATGGTGGTTCTCAATCAAAGGCTTCTCTAGACAACACAATCCAGCTATGACGGGGGCTAGAATGATTTTGAGAAGGAGAACTTTTTAGAAAGGGTCCCTGCTTAATGCCAAATTACTTCCTAATGTCCCCATCATAACCTGTTTATGCTTCTGGTAGAATCATAAAAGACTAGACTGTAGAATTCATATACTACAACCCCTTCATTTTACCCAAGAGGCAGCAGAAGCCCAGAGGGGCTATGTGATTCCCCCCAAAGTTACACAACTGGCTTGTTTTGGAGCTGTGGAAAAAAAAGAAAAACAGATCTTCTGACTCTTACTCTGGTATGTTTTCCATGCACTGTGCTTTCTCTCCACGAAGAGGCATTCAGTCATTTGGCCATCATTTACTGAATGCCTCCTTTGTGCTAGATTCTAGGGATAAAGAAATGAATAAGAAATGGTTCCAAGAATCTCATAGACTAGAAAGAGAGACAGTCTATTCAACTCTAGTCATTTTCATTATATTCACAAGAATAAATAGATTATTCTTTAGCCAGAGCACCTGGGAGGTCAGATTGGTGACCAAAGGTAAAGGAGCTTCCAGACAAGCTACTTCCCTAGTAAAGAAAGGCCATAGCATGCCTTGAGTGCCAACTGTGTGCCAGGTCCTGGTCTACGTGCAAAAGGACAGCCTCTGCCCTCAAGGAACTCACAACGTAAGATACCATGATGCCACTGATGGAGGCTAAGTTTTAAGGCAATTCAGCAAATAGCTATTGAGCATCTTCTCTGCTCCAGGCACTGTTCTAGGTGCTGACGATACGATGATGAATAGAGCTTACAATCTTACAATCTTTCCGTGGCTCTCCACCAATGCTGCCACAACATATTAAAGTAAAAAAACTTTTTTTGGAGGTCTGTATTTGCTTCAGAATATATCTGCCTGGAGGCCTTAGAAGTGGTGCTGTTTGTAACTGTTCGTTTCTAAGGTGGGTGCAGACACCGTCATACATAGATTAGGGCATCAGGGGAATTCAAGAATTTGATGTGCTTTATTCTCTTGCACAGAAGTGGTCAAGATGGAAATCAATGCTTATTGTGAGAATTGAAATTGTCAAGTGTCCACTGGATTGCTTAGTCAAGTTCTCGAGGGGCACCCATGTCTTTGACTAGAAGAGCATCATGAAATAGGTGAAAAGAAGGATCATTAAGGCCAAATAGCCTTCTGGGAAAGTACCTTCCTCCAGAATGAATGAATCCAGATGGGCCCAGAACTATATGATGCTCTTCTAGTCATGTTGCCAGATAACTCTTCTCATTCGTAAGAGAAGGCCCCTTTCAGCACTTTGTAAAGCTTTGTCTTGTTGTCTCCCGAGCGCTGATTAGACAAGGCTCCTTGGCTGATCCTCAGACCAGCACAGCATTGTTACTGAGCTTCTTGGAACTACTCAGGAGCTCAGTGGCTCCGTGGGGCCCAGTGAGGACCTGTACTTGGTAGGAGCAAACCACTTGCTCCCAAGGATGCTGCTTATCCTAGCTATAGCTAAGCCTCTTGGGAAAATAATGCCAGTGATATTTTGCATTTGGTCCACAGCTATCATCCGTGTCATCCACAATGGAAGAAACAAAGAAGACTTCCAAGAGTAAGCAGAAGCCTATAAAGACCGAGTGGAATTCCCGGTGTGTCCTTTTCACCTATTTCCAAGGGGACATAAGCAGCGTCGTGGATGAGCACTTTTCCAGAGCTCTGAGCAACATCAAAAGCCCCCAGAGATTGAGCCCCTCGGGCCAGAGCCAAGATGTGACCATGAGGAATGGTGAGCACGTTGGGAGGGAGGAGGCTGGAATTCCTTGTCAGGGTTAGAACTTGGACCAACTCATTGATGCACTGAGAAATGTGTATATTTGCTACAGGAAAGTCATACTGTCCAGTGAGAAGCCACACTTCCTTCTTATAAGTTTAATGTGAAAGTGGATACGTTTAATCGAATTAGTTCACCGATTGCATTATTTCCTCAATCGTGTGAAGTGCTGGGTTCACTCCTCAGCACACAATAAGAACCCCACACCGGTTCACTATTATCATCATTATTTTAATACTAGTGGCCTGACAGGGCAGGAACATCAAAGAATCTATAGTGAGAAAAATCAGGTCCCACATAGGTGCTCCCAACCTCCTCTCAATTGGTAGTGGAGCAAGGCCAGGGCCGGAGGGAGGTAAATGAAGGTTCCTACTGCAGCCCTCACCCCACCCCAGCAGGGTCAGGGTGTCCATTGCACACACTATTTGGTAATTTTTATAAAAAATAAACATTCTGACGTCTCAAAGCAGTTACCTTGAGAGAGCTGTGTTAAAATGTGTACGTCCAAATATCCAGATTTGGTGGAAGCCATAAAAATGAAGCTGGCAGAGCTGCAGTATGACTTTCACGGGCCCTAGACACTTTTCCCTTTGTGGGCCCTTTCCTCTATAAAAAATATAAAAAATTATATTTTATGACTGTGTTGGTATAAAAATGAATATACTCTAGGCTGGATTCATTTTTACATATTCATTATCCTTATATTCATATGGAATCCCTGGGTGGTGCAAATGGTTAACATGCTCAGCTGCTAACCAAAAGATTGGTGGTTCGAGTCCACCCAGAGGCACCTCAGAAGAAAGACCTGGTGATCTACTTACCAGAAATCAGCCATTGAAAACCCTATGGAGAACAATTCTACTCTACTCTACGTAATTTATGGGGTCATCATGAGTCAGAGTTGACTCCATGCAACTGTTTTTTTTTTAATCGTTATGTTCATTTTTTCCTTCTGATTGTAAAAGAAGTTAAAACATTTTCATGGAAGCTTAGAAGTATTCCTGGGCCCTAGGCACTATGCCTCCTGGGCCTAACAGAGCCATGGCCCCTGCCACTTGAACGTGAATCAATGTGGCTCCTGTTCGCTTTTATGAAATGTGCAAGTAGGCCAGGGTCTGGTTGACTTTATGGGCTCTTTACTGCTGTTCTCAAACACACGTGTTGAATTCCTTGCTCTCATTAAAGGATGTACATGCCTCCCAGTGGGCTGCTTTGTGCAAAGTGAACATGTGGGGCCTCTGCCTGCAGGGGAAGAGCTCACGTCTTTCCAGATAGCACCACTCTGGCTTTGCTCTTTGTGTCAGGACGCAGAGTTGGTGTGTGTCTGATGCACTCACCTTTGCATAATTTACGTCTCTCCTAGAAATTTCTTTTCCAGTCTGGTGATGTGATTCTCTCAGAGGATTTTGGTGGTTAAGTGAACACATGGAAGGGTGTGTGGCAGCAGCAGATACGAAAAGAAAAGATGTTACAGTGAGCACGAAGGGGAGGGTGGAGGGTGAGGAGGTGATGTCCAAGGATGTGTTGAATTATCAGAGCAGGAGCAGGAATGGCTATGATCTTGAGTCATTTGGGGGATTGACATGTGCTAAGAGCTGAGAAATGAGGTATGTGGAATTCAGAAGATCTAACTGGCTCCTTGGAAGGATGAAAATTTCCAGACACTTCATTCAGGGACAAGTATGCTGACTTTGGCTTTTTGACTCTTTGGTTTCTTATTGCTGAAGACCTTGGCTTGGATGTATGACAGTTGCTCCCTTGTAAGCACCATCAATCCGTGGTCCCTCACTTCCTCTATCCTACTCGCTTGGTAGATTAGTTTCCTAGGGCTGCTGTAAGAAAATACAACAAATTAAGTGGCTTTAAAGAAGGGAAATTTATTGACTTACGGTTCTGGAGGCTAGAAGTCCAAATCAGGGTATCAGCTGTGTTGATTCCTTCTGAGCCTCTGAGAGATCAACTGTTCCATGTCTCCCTTCTAGCTTCTGGTGGCTCCAGGCATTTCTTGGCTTGCAGCTACAGCATCACATGGCATCCTTCCTTTCTCCCTTCTCAATATATCTTCTTTTTTATGAGGACATCAGTCATTTTGGACTACAACACACCCTACTGCAGTATGACCTAGTATGACCTAGCTGATAACATCTTCAAAGAAAGAACCTATTTCCAAATAGGTCACATTCACAGGTATGGGAGTTAGGACGTCAGCATATCTTTTTTTGGGGACATAGTTCAATCCATAACCCCTGGTAAAATCGAAGCTAAAACCAACTCTTGGACTATTGCCTAATTCTCTGCCTTATTTTGCAGCAAAACTTAAAAGTGGTATTCATGTGCACTATCTCTTTTTCCAAGGAGCCCTGTTGGCACAGTGGTTAAGCAATCGGCTGCTAACAGAAAGGTCAGCAGTTCAAACCCACCAGCTACTCCTCGGGAGAAAGATGTGGCAGTCTGCTTCTGTAAAGATTTACAGCCTTGGAAACCCTATGGGGCGGTTCTACTCTGTCCTATAGGGTCACTATGAGTCAGAATTGACTCGACGACAACAGGTTTATCTCTTCCTCTCCCCCCCATACTCTCTTGAGTCCACGCCACTCAGGCTTGCAACCTCATCACTCCTTGAAACCACTTTTATCAAGGTTAGCCAGTGGCCTCCACTTTCCAAATCCCATGGTCCTTCTGTCTTCATCTAATTTGACCTATCAGCAACATTTGCTGTTGTTGATTGCTCTGTCCTCTTGGAAATACTTGCTTCACTTGGATTCCATTACATCATACTCCCTTGGTTTTCCTCCTACCTCCTTGGTTACTACTCCTCTTCAGTCTCCTTTGCTGGATGCTCCTCCTCTCTCCAACTTCTAAACATTCAAGGGCTCCAGGACTCAGGTCTCAGACCATTTCTTTTCTCTATCTAAACTCACTCCTTAGGTGATCTCTTTCAGTCCCTTGGTCTTAAATACCATCTGTATGCTGATAATTGCAAATGTATATCTCCAGCCCAAACTGGATTCCAGATCTGTATATCCAACTGTCTACTTGATACCTTCACTTCATAGGTCTAACAGGAATCTCGAACAAAACAGGTCCCAAGCTGAAGTCTTAATCTTTTCCCCAACCTGTTCCTCCTGCAGTCTCCCCCATCTCAATAAATTGCAACTGTATCCTTCCAATTGCTTAGAGTCATGTTTACATCCTGTTTCTCTCACACCCCATGTTCAATCCTTTGGGAAATTCTGTAAGTTCTACCTTCAAAATATATTCAAGATTTGACCACTTCTCCCCAACTCTGATGCTCTCACCCTGGTCTGAGAAGCCATCAGCTGGATTATTGTAGTAGCCTCCTAATTGGTCTCACTGCCCTAGCTCCTCTTCAGTCTATTCTCAACACAGTGGTCAGAATGATATCATTAAAATGAAAGTCAGATCATGTCGCTCATCTGTTCAAAGCCCTCCAATAGCTTCCTGTCTTAGTTATGTAGTGTTGCTATAACAGAAATACCGCAAGTGGATGGCTTTAACAAACAGAAATTTATTCTCTCACAGTCTAGGAGGCCAGAAGTCCAAATTCAGGGCGCCAGCTCTAGGGGAAGGCTCTCTGTCTCTGTCAGCTCTGGGGGAAGGTCCTTGTCATCAATTTTCCCCTGGTCTAGGAGCTTCTCAGGGCAGGGACCCTGTTTCCTTTGCCCTCCGACTTCCCCTTGGGTCTTTCAATGAAGCCCCTCCCGACGAAGGAAACTTGGACATAGCCAGCATTAGGGACACCTATGCATGCCACCCTTCCCAGGCCAAACGGAGAGGCAGCTTTCTTCTCCCTGTGCCTTTTTGAAAGTTGCATTTTCCCTGTGGGAATCTCACAAATCCTTTGACCAGGAAGATGACGTGGCCCTCACAGAGTGTGGGGTGGGATAGATAAATGTTTGTCCGTTGATTGCGCAAATGAAAGACTGTTTCCCTCAAGGCCTCTCTTATCACAGTTAGGAATCGAGTTTCTCAGAGACTCTGCTGTCTTGGGGGAGGGCCCATGAAAGAAGACCAGCCCCACAGCGGTGCTCACTGGGGATGTTATGTGACATACGTGCAGCTTCAAAAATGGTGGAAACCCATGAAGTAGCTTTTCATTTCTGACCGTCAGCATCCTCTCAACCCCTGCAGGCCAGCACCTAGCCTCTTGAACACAGCCAAGCCATGCCCAGGAGAACAGGCTGCCCATTCATGGGCTCCTATCCCTGGCTCGCCTGCCTTCTAAGGGTGCTCTGTAAAGCCACCTATGCAAAACCCAGACACACAGACCCATGTGCCTAGGAAATGCAACCGAAGTCCCTTGCTTCCTTTTCCAAATCAAAGTTATTTTTTATTTACTTATGTAAATTTATACTGGTTACACTTCAGAAGAGAAAACAGAAGTTAAAGGTACCTTTGGATTATTTCCCTTTTCAAAGGACACTGGGGATTTCAGAATTGGTGTCTCAAGAAGCTTCAGTAACTGCCATTTCTGGGGGCCACAGTCTGGTGTGCATTCCGCCTCCAACTCAAGCCCTGAGCCCAGCCTGGGCCTGGCCACGTTGCTTGAGGGCTGCAGGGAGAAGGCAAGAGGGCACATACCTGAGCACCCAGAGGTCTTTTATAACTAGTCTCAAAGGGTCCTGCCTCCTTCTCCCCCCACCTCCCATCTGCCATACTGAAGTAGGTAGGGAAGAAATGCTGGGGTTTTTAGGGTGAATATCTATATGGGATATAGTCATGCTGGTTGTATATGGCACTTGTGAACACTGACAACTTCGTGTCTTCCTTTCCAGTAAGGAAGGGGGATTTGCACAAACATATATTGAGCCCCCACTGGGCACCAGACACCGTGCTAAAATCATTGCCTTGTGTCCAGAAACTAGTCTGAAGTAGGGAGGCAGGGTCACCAGGCAGGGATGGAGTGTAAGGGGGTGGTCTGTTGGATGGAGTCAAGCTCTTTAGAGCCTGAGGGTGCTTTCTGGAGGGTTCTGGTGCCCCTAGAAGTGTATGTAGGTGAGAGTGGGTGGTTTCTCTGCGTTTGCCTGGGTGACAGTAGAGAGGCTTGCCAGTTTCACCCCCGGGGCAGAGAGGGAAACGGGGACAGGCATTCCCTGGGCAGACTCTGGTCTTTGGATGGGGTCCCTGGGAATTACGGAGGCATGAATGGGACTAAGAGGTAGGGTCTAAATGCTGAAGATTGGAGTATATGGGGTGGAAGTCTTTTGTAATCCTATTGAGAGAAAACTCCAGCCTGTCCCAAGTGTTCCTGAATCAAAGTGCTCCTCGACCTCTCTCTGTTTGCTAATGTGGTTTGGGAGTTTGAGAAGGCAGCACGCTTCCTCTGGGAGTGGAGTGGAGCAGGCCTGAGTCTGCTCACCTCCCTCCCCTGGGGCTCCCTCCCTCACCTCCGGAGGTAACCACGAGGGGGCACTTGGGTAGGAAGAGGGTGTCACCGGGACCATTTCTACTAGCAACAGTAGCCTTGAGCCAGTCCAGGCTGTGGTCTGGGAAATTGCCAGCCGTCCACAGGGTAGATGGGCATGGTTGCTGGAGCAGTTAGCCCAAGAAGCCTGAGAAAGTGTAGTCCCATCAAAATTCAGGGTCTCCCCTCCATGGGACACCAACACCCAAGCCTGGTCAGGAAAGATGGGTTTCCAGGCTACTCAAGGCTCACCATTGATTGGGTTGCTGTGAACCTGGGATTGGGACATCCAGTACCTCCCAATGTCTTCCCATTCAAACTGTGCTCTGGTGCACTCAGTAACCAAATGGGACCTCGGAGTGTGGCACCCCACCCGCTCCGCTTAACGTTTCAGTCAGAGAATCCCGGGAAGGAAGCAGTTAAGAAATATTCAAAACACGCTGGGGCCCTGTCTTCCACATTTCAAGCAGTCAGTGCCTAGGCCATGTGCATGAGATCTATAAGGCCACTTCAGATGGAAACCACCTGGTTGTCAGAGGCTACGAGTTGTTGCTGTTTTGTGCTTAGGACAAGCAGTACCTTCACTCAATATGAAGTGTGGACAGGGATTATACGAAATCAGCTTAATCTCTCTATTTGTGCCACACGGTGCCGTAATTGCTACTGCCTGCAGATATCAATTTTTGAAAGCAGCATTCACCCTCAGGAACAAATTTAATGTTTCCTTGCCCGTGTTTTCATTAGAAGAGGCCAACCTTTGCCCATAGGCCATTGTGAAGGATATAATATGTTGGCCAGGATGTCTCCTCTGCGGGGGTAGGGCTCATTTTGCTTTTATCATCTGTATCACATGCAAAGCTACAGTGGTGGGTGGGGGTGCTTCAGTACCACTGGGTAAGGCCTCTCAGATGTTTTTTCTCTTATTCAGAATCCAGTCAAATGGAACATTCAGGAGAGCTGGGGGAAGTGCACATGGACGGGTAGGGGGCCAGCGTGCCAGACAGCCTCTCCAGCCCTCGAATTTTCCTTTGCTCGCCTCGCCCACGCCTACCCCCTCCACTTTCATTAGCTTGGATATATGAGAGGCTCCAGGCTTTAAGCACCATCTGGCAGAGCTCACTCCCTCCTCCTCTCCTTCCGTGAGTGGGTGTTGGGAACGGGGAAAACATCCATCCATGTCATGAGCTATTGTAGACTTTTTAAGACCTCAGACTCAGCCACTATTACAGGCACAGAGTAGTGACTATGGCATCAAAGGAGACCCCATCCCCATCAGCCGGCCCACATGAATTTTGCAAGAACAAACTGCGTCACTCCTTGACCCTGAGCATTTTGCTTTTGCAAGATGAGGTCCAAGTAACTGCTTCCCCACCCATCACATGGCTCAATCCCTACTTGGCTAATCTGGTTTGCTACCTTGGTTCAGACTCTTAACATCCCTGTGTCCCAGATTCCTCTTGAAAATGAGGTTTCAACATCTAGAGTTGTGTAAATGACCAACATAGGCAAGCACTAAACCCTTTATAAAGTTCTGTGGATTCCTCCTATTTGGTGTATTCAAAACACTAGCTATAAAATAAAGCAAAACAGCAACAACGAAACACAAACCACCTTTGATCAAACGATTCTACTTCTAGAAAATTTACCTTAATTGTTGGAGCTAATTGGACAAGGGTGCAAAGACGTTTATCCAAAGATGATCACTGCAATGTTGTTAATATAATTGAAAAAACGGAAATGACTGAACTGCCTGCAAATATGATATTTGTTAGTAACTTTAAAAAAAAAAAGCTCCTGTGGAGCCAATTCTGACTCATAGCGACCCTGTATGTATGAGACTAGAATGTGCTCCAGAAGGTTTTCAGTGGCTAGTTGTTGGGAAGTAAATTGACAAGACTTTCTTCGCAGGTGCCTCTAGGTGAACTCGTATCTCCAACCTTTCAATTAGCAGCTGAATGCTTTAACCATTTGTACCACTCAAGGGATTCCATTAGTCATGCTACTACCTTATAATGGAATCCTTACTGTGTGGCCATTTAAAAAGCTGATGTTTGGCTCCATTCATTGTTATGGAAGTATATTTACAATATTTTAATATGAAAAAGCAACTTTAGATAGCAATATGTGTTGTGAAAATCATGCATACATGAAAAGAAAAATATCCTAGAAAGAAGTGCATGCAAATGGTGGTCTCTGGATATTATAATTAAGGTGATTTTTTTCCCCAACTTTTCTACATTTTCCTCACATTAAAAAAATAGTATGGAATGGGTGCCCAACTTGAGGAATGTAGTTAATGTCACTGAATTATACATGTAGAAATTATTGAATTGGCATATGTTTTGTTGTGTGTTTTCACACACAAAAAGATGATGCATTAAAAATTACTATGTATTAATCAGAAAAAAATTAAACCACTTCCATTTTGCAAACAATACATAAATAAACACCTGCTATGGCTGTCTAACTGTCTTCTAAATCTTTCCTTCCCAGATAGTGACATGTCTCCAAATCAATGGCGTTCATCTTCTCAGTGGAGAAAACCACAACCAGAAGGCTCTCCTACAAATAGTGCAGCCAGCTGCAGCTTGAATGTGTCCGGTCCCATGGCTATGGATCCGTACCCACTGTCCCTGACTGGGAGTCCCTCTGCACAGCCTGGAGAGCTGTGGCATTTCTCCTCCCTAGCCAGTCCCAGCTCCCCAGAGCCTGGCTACTCTCATGCCTTCCCCAGTGGCTCCCTGGTTCCAGAGCCCAAGCCTGATGGGAAATGCGAGCCCCTTGTAAGTCTCCTCCAGCAAGAAAGATGCCTAGCCTGTCCTCAGGAACCTGCCACCAGGGAGGACCACAACTCTGCCCAGATAGCTGGAAGATCAGGATTGCTCCTTGACCTGCCTCCCGACTCTGCCCACTGTAAGGACACACCTACAGATACTGGGAGGATTGCCCCTGATTGGTTGTGATGTAGAATTCGTTGGCATGAGATGGGGGGCCAAGATGAATTACTGCCGCTTAGGACATGGGACTGCTGAGGGACGGAATGCTCTGCTTAAACTTTCCCTATAGCTTCACTAGGCTTCATTGGGGAAACCCTGGTGGCGTAGTGGTTAAGAGCTATAGGCTGTTAACCAAAAGGTCGGCAGTTCGAATCCACCAAGCACTCCTTGGAAACCCTATGGGGCAGTTCTACTCTGTCCTATAGGGTTGCTATGAGTCGGAATCAACTCGACAGCAACGGGTTTGATTTTTTTTTTCAGGCTTCATTGGCATTCACAGTTTAATGGCTAACGGGTTACATAGATAGGTAGCCAGACGAACTTGGCTTAGAGTATTCACCCCAGTCTGTTTGACTTGGCCTTACCCTAGAAAAATTATGGGCTGCTGCCTAAAATCATAGAGTCCTATATTCACCTCATGGTGAGCTACCAAATAATCTGTTTGCAAAGCAGAATTCTGTGACACACCTACAGAATCAAACTCAAGCCTCCAAACAGGTTGGCAACTGGTGCTGATGCCAGGTTCCTGGGCAAAAACAAGGGCACTCTAGACCAACCATCTGCTCCGCACATTAAAATTCAAAGCAACTGGAGAGGCAGCCTCATGGCTGCCTGGCTGTGAGTGGCTGGCTCCTGTGCACCGGGCTCCCCTTCTGTTTCCCTGGGGTTCCTGCTCCCTGACCACCACCTCTCCCTCTGAACCAAAAATGCCCTTGAGGCTTACTCACTCCTTCCTTCACTCACTCACTCAACAAATATTTAATTAATGCTGTAAAAAACCCATTGCCATCGAGTTGATTCCGACTCATGGTAACCCCATGTGTGACAAAGTAGAACTGCTCAATAGGGTTTCTTTGGCTGTAATCTTAATGGAAGCAAATCTCTAGACCTTTCTTCAGTGGTACAGCTGGTTGAGTTTGAACCGCTAACCTTTCGGTTAATAGCCCAGCACAAACCATTTGCACCACCAATAAACCCATTGCCATCAAGTAGATTCCGACTCATAGTGACCCCATAGGACAGTAAAACTGCCCCAAAGGGTTTCCAAGGAGCAGTTGGTGGATTCAAACCGCCAACTTTTTGATTAGCAGCCTGAGGTCTTAACCACTGTGCTACCAGGGCTCCTTGCACTACCCAGGGACGCTTCATTATTGCCTACTAGATGCAAAAATGCCCATCAGAAAAAAGACTCCCTTCTTTGTAAAAGGACAAGCGTAGAATCAGCCTGACACAATTTCACCAAAAAAAGGAACCCACTCCGCTGCAATATTTGCCTTTCATATGAAATGTTGGTGATAATATATATTTTATAGTTTCATGGGGCCAAGTCAACTTCCTCTGGCACTCTGCACTCTGGATGAATTTTCTTTTGCAGCTTCCCAGTTCATACATATCTGTGATTCTAGTCTACCATAGGAGCCCTGGTGGTGCTGTGGTTAAGTGCTCGTCTGCTAACCAAAAGGTCATCAGTTCTAACCCACCAGCCACTCCGTGGGAGAAAAATGTGGCAGTCTGCGTCCATAAAGATTACAGCCTTGGAAACCCTATGGGGCAGTTCTACTCTGCCCTATAGGGTCGCTATGAGTCAGAATCAGCTTGACAGCAATGGGTTTTATGGGTAGTCTCCGAGGCCTGAAATAGATTCCTGGATGCTGCCTTTCCTGTGCGCTAAGTATAGAGCACACAAAGGGCCTCTTCAGCACAGCCTAGCTAAGCCACGCTCTCTGCTCCATCCGAACATGGAGAACAAATTTCTCATTAACATACCCCTCCATCATTTCCAAAGTTTGATTAAGAATGTACTTAAAGAGTAAATAAAAAAAAAATAGCATGCCTGGGAAAACCTGTGAGAATTCCCACCAACTATTTTTCAAAACTTCCTGCTGGAGTCAGAGGGAAAATTGGGCTACTGAGTTTGTATGTGTTCTGTGCAGGCACACAGTAGAACCCTGTTTCCATGGTTGATTACAACACAGACGGCTCAAATCATTGCCTCCCAAACATAACCAGTCTATACAGCTCCGCTTCAATGCAGCAAATATTTAGTGAGTATCTACTATTGCCAGGCACCTAATGGTGAAACGATAATGCAGGGATTATCCTATTCCGAAACCTCTAGACATTCACAAACCACTGTTTATTGCCGAAGTCTCAACTGCTGTGAACTCTTCACACTCTCCTACTCATGCCGACATCTCTCTGACATCTCTCGTACTAACTGGTGACTGGCTGTGCAGCATCTGTTGAGGAAGTCAGCAACCTCTAATCAGGAACACTGCCTCTATGAGGGAACAAGGTCCAGGGGTCTTAAAAACAGAAGCGTCTCTGTCTTTGTAGACTCTGATAGAGAAAATACACCAGGTCCCCATAAACTGAGGGGCAGGCAACTTGGGCCCTGGTGGTGCAGTGGTAAAGCACTTGGCTGCTAACCGAAAGGTCGGCAGTTTAACCTCGCCAGCTACTCTGCTGGAGAAAGATGTGGCAGTCTGCTTCCATAAAGATTACAGCCTTGGAAACCCTATGGTACAACAGTTCTACTCTGACCTACGGGGTCGCTATGAGCAGAATCCACTACAACGGCAACAGGTTTAGTTTACGTGGTACTACTAAGGTCTCTGGGTGGCACAAATGGTTTGTGCTTAACAACGAACCTAAAAGTTGGTGATTCGAAACCACCCAGTAGTGCCATGGAAGAAAGGCCTGGTGATTTGCTTCTGTAAAGATCAACACCAACAAAACTCTATGGAGCACAGCTCTACTCTGCAACACATGAGGTCGTCATGAGTTGGGGGCCAACTCAAAGGCAACAGGGTTTGGTTTCTCTTGGTGGGTGGGTGGGGGGTACCACTGTGCACTTTCTAACCCAACCCCAGGGATTTCATTTCCAATCATGTTTTCTTCTTCTTCTTTTCTAGATAAGAAAATCCATTTCTCCCCAAGTCATGGAGGGGCCAGTGCTAACCTTGCAAATGAAAGTAGGTATCTGGTTTCTACCTTTGACAGTGATTCTCTGTAACCTGAGAAGATACTTGAGAGTAAAAACCAGTGTCCCCAACACCTTATCTCTTCAGTATTGTTGTATTTAGAATTTGTTCCATCTTTGTCTCAAAGAGCACACGCACTTCATATCTTGTAAAATCTCTTACACGTATTCTTGTTTTGCTGTAGAAGCAACTCAACTGAACTCTTTTACCTGAGCCTGACTGACTGAGGTAACCAAGGTGACTCAGAAAGTTTACAAATTCATGGGGATTAGCTTGATCTGTCCCAGATGGTCAGTGTACTGCCTAGCACATAGGGCTACCCCAGGACACTGCAGCCAGGGAAGATACTGACTGAAGCCACGGGCCAAAACTCTGGGCCCCACACTCAATTTGAAAGTGGTGTCGGTAGGAAAGTTCCTGTGAAGACAATCTGGGTGGGATGACATGAGGAGCTTCATGGTCTGGGTGCAAATCCTGGCTACATTACTTACTGAAAACCCATTGCCTTTGAGTCGATTCCGACTCATAGCGACCCTATAGGACAAAGTAGAACTGCCCCATAGGGTTTCTGAGGAGCAGCTGGTGGATTCAAACAGGCAACCTTTCGGTTAGCAGCCATAGCTCTTAACCACTGCACCACCAGGGCTTCATTACTTACTTTAAAAAAAAAAAAACTATTGCCATCAATTTGATTCTGATTCCTAGCGACCCTATAGGACAGAGTAGAACTGCCCTGTAGAGTTTCCAAGGAGCACCTGATGGATTCGAACTGCTGACCTTTATGGTTAACAGACGTAGCTCTTAACCACTATGCCACCAGAGTTTCCCCATTATTTACAAAGCTCCAGGAATTTGGTCAAGTTTCTTAACCTGTCTATGGCTCAGTTTCCTCATTTGTAAAATGAGCATAAAAATAGTGTCCACTTTCATAGGGTTTCTGTGAGGATTAAATGAAATAATATATGTAAATGCTTAGAATAATGCCTGGCACACAGTAAGCCATCCAAAAGCGTAAGCCTTTAGTTTATGAAAGTCAAGATTGTAATGTCTCTCAAGTACTTGTTAATAGCTTATAGCTTTTCTTTAATTGCAAGCCTTGTAATTGCTGATAAGTTCACACTTCATATTGTTCATAGGCCCAAAATAACAACATTTATTGGGCATTGATGATGAGCCAGATACGGCATCTATCAATCTGTTCAGTCCCCTAAATAACTTTGTGGTATGTGTATGTGCTAGGTGCCTTACACAATCAGTGTTCAGTAAATAGTGACTGTCTTAGTTATCTAGAAGCCCTGGTGGTGCAGTGGTTAAAGCACTTGGCTGCTAACCAAAAGGTCAGAGGTTCAAACCCACCAGCTGCTCCGAGGGAGAAAGACATGGCAGTCTGCTTCCATAAAGATTTACAGCCTTGGAAACCTTATGGGGCAGTTCTACTCTGTCCTATTGGGTCACTAGGAGTCGGAATCAACTCTACAGCAGTAGGTTTGGTTTTTGGTTAGTTACCTAGCACTGCTATAACAGAAATGCCACAAGTGGGTGGTTTTAATGAACAGAAATTAATTTTCTCAAAGTTTAGTAGCCTAGAAGTCCGAATTCAGGGTGCCGGCTCTAGGGGAAGGCTCTTTATCTCTGGGGGAAGGTCCTTGTCTCTTTTTCGCTTGTTTCTAGGTTCCTTGGTGATCTTCATGTGATGTGGCATCTATCTTCCCCCATCTCTGCTTGCTTTTTCACTTGCTCAATTTGCTCTTTTTATATCTCAGAAGAGATTGACTTAAAACACACCCTACACTAATACTGCCTCATCAACATAACAAAAACCCATTCCCAAATAGGCCCAATGGTTAAGTGCTGGGCTGCTGACTGAAAGGTCAGCGGTTCAAATCCACCAGCCAATCCGCAGGAGAAAGATGTGGCAGTCTGCTTCCGTAAAGATTACAGCCTTAGAAACCCTATGGGGCAGTTCTACTTTGTCCTATAGGGTCACAGTGAATCAGAATTGACTCGATGGAAACAGGTTTGGTTTTTTTGTTTGTTTTTTGTTTTTAACTACCTACAATGTAGGTGCTATTTTTATCCTAATTTCATAGATGGGAAAATTGAAATATAGAGAGGTTAAGTAAATTTGCCCAAAGTCATAAAATAAATAAGTGCCAGAGTCAGTTTTCTCTGATTTCAAAGTCCTGAGTCTTACCCACTAAACTAAACTGCATCTTGACACAACAACAATTCAACCCTACTGCGTATAGAGACACTGCTTCTTTAACAAAATAATAACCAGAAAAAACAAATAGTTGCCATCAAGTTGACTCTGACTCAATGTGACCCCATATGTGGCAGAGTAGAACTGTGCTTCATAGGGTTTTCAATGGCTGGTTTTTTTCAGAAGTAGATCACCAAGCCTTTCTTCCAAGGTGCCTCTGGGTGGGCTCAAACCTCCAACCTTTTGGTTAGCAGCCTAACGTGTTAACCATTTACACCACCCAGGGACTCCAACAAAATAATAGCTAACATTTATTCAGCACATAGGTGCTAGGCACTGTTCCAAGGGCTTGACATGTGTTTAACTCCCTTAACCCTCACCAGAATCTTGGGAGATAGGCAACATTATTATCCCCATTTAGCAGATGAGGAAGATGGGGCTCAGAGAAGCTAGGTAACTTGCCCAAGGTCACACAGCTTGGGAGTGGTAAGACCAGGATTCAGGGGCTCATCTGACCCCAGAGCCAGCTTCTTAATCATCATGCTTATCCTGTTTTTCAGGGAGCCAGTCTCCAGAGAAAAGACAAGATCTGTTCTTTTATTGAATTTTGGTTTGAAGAAGAGAATTGTTATTTCCAAACCTGCTAAAGATTTTCCACTATGAATCCAGAGGGTCTAGAGACATCGCCATCCTTTTCTGTTTCTGCCACTAAGGAAAATTAAGTCAGAAGCAAGTTCATGCTCTCCCTAAAATCGTACACTCTTCTTTTGTGACACCTAGGCCCTACAGCATGATTTTCAAACTTGTTAAGTGAATTCCCAGCATATAAAATGATGAAGAGAGCTGTTAGGGATGGGAACAGAGAAGCCTGCCTCCTTGCTCATCCCACCTTCCCCTGCACCCACCACCCTCCTACTTAGAAATCACAGTTCCCTTAACCACCAGCCAGGGTCCTTCGAACCAAAACTGACCATGTAGTATCCTATGGGGTTGTCTCACTTTTTAAACTGTATAATAGAGAGATCAGGAACAGCCTGAAGCTTTCCAACCTTTCCTACCTAAACTTAAATCAACTTCATTCCTGCCTCTTCTAAAAGCAAAATGAAAATGGCATGGGAAAGACTCATTGAGAATGGGTTGGGGCTGGGGGTTCCCCGCCATCCTCAAAGTCTGGAAGGAAGCTGAGAAGTCCAGGATGGCCCTGATGAATGAAATACTTTCACTTGGGAAATGTAGTTCCTCAATTCCAAAAAAAAAAAAGCAATTTCTAAATTGAACTGCTGAGATATCTTTGACTTCTGAGAACTTATTAGAAGTAGAGCAAACTGCCTTGTACCAGGCAGGGCCTGTGGCCAGAGCAGAACTCATTCTGTATGCACAGCATCTGTTGGATGCAGTGACATGAGTTCCTGTCTGCCCTCTCTCTGTGGATGAGGACTCTGACGTCTGACACCCTACAGGTGTTCAGCTGGCCCTTGGCGGCAACTTGCAGCCTTCCAGAGGGGCCCACCTTGCTTCCATAAACAATGGAATTTCTCCTTTAGCTCTTGCCCAGTTAGTGACATCTGGGGAATATTCCTTTTCTTTTCAGCTCAGAACCCTTGGGGCCACCCACATGGATACTGGCAGCACCTTTAGTCAAGTTGGAGGAGAAAGGCAGGGCTTGGTCCAAGACATGGAAGCAGGACCTCCCTGCAGATTGTTCCAGATAAAATGACAATTTCTCCAAACTCATTCATCTCCACAAACTGGTAGACAGCTTTGTTTCATGTGTGATCTTGGTGGTAGGCCCATGACAACCCCAGGAGGCCCTGCTGACAGTGTCCCCCACCCACACCCTACTTGCTCCTATGTAATAGCTCAGACTGTAATGAATAATAAAACTATACTTTTCCAAATAGCATTATTCTGGATTCTAAGTTCTTTCGCATCCATCATCTCAAATTTCCCAGCAACCCTGGGATTGGCATTATTTATCTTCATTTAACATTGTAGCTATGGAGGCTCAGAGGAGGTGATGATCTGCCCAAGATCCCATAGCCAGTAGCAGAGCTGGCGCTTAAATTCAGGTCTTTGAACTCACTGCTCCTTTCTCTCCACAATAATACTTATCAAAGATTAATATCAGGATAGCTCTTAAGTGAGTCCCTGGGTGGTGTAAATGGTTTGCGCTTGACTACTAACCTGAAGGTTGGCAGTTCAAACTCACCCAGTGGCACTGTGGAAGAAAGACCTGGCGAGCTGCTTCCATAAAGATTAGAGCCAAGAAAACTCTATGGAGTGGTTCTATTTCACAACACAGGGGTCGCCATGAGTTGGAATCAACTTGATGGCAATGGGTTTGGTATTTTGGTTTGGCTCTTAGGTGTTTCTTTCCTCTCTTCTTAGGTAAATAAAGACCCCAGCCCTTGCATGAGGGAATTGGTGACCTTGGCAGTAATCTACTAATCCTCCTATCTCAAGAAAAGTTTTTCCAGTGCGTTACATACGTTTCATAGATTTATCAACAAGAAGGGAAAAAAAAAACAACTTAGCCATTATAGCTTGTCTTAAAGTTACTTACCTTCAAAAAGCCATGTTCTGTCTACACAAACCACAGCCTCATCTAACCTGACACCAGAAGAACTAAATGGTGCCCAGCTACCACTACCGACCATTCTAGTCAGAGCCACAATATATGGGCCCTTATTCAATGGGAGAAAAATATGGAACAGAATCTCAAATTCTTAAAAAATCCAGACTTACTGGACCAGTTGAAACTAGAGGACGACCCAAGACTATTGCCCTGAGATACTCTTTAAACGTTAAACTGAAACTATCCCTTGAGGTCATATTTTAGCTAAATAATAGATTGGCTCACAAAATAAAGAATATCAACTGTGAGTACTGTGCTCCTTTAAAAAAATCACCTATATGAGACCAAATGGGCGATAATTACTTTAAAATGAAAATGAGAATGTAAGCAGGCAGAGAAACTAGATTGATGGAAAGGGAACAACCAGAAGGGAAATAACGAGAATGTTCACACATTGTGAAGAATGTAACCAAGGTCACTGAACAACTTGTGTAGAAATTGTTGAATAGGAACCTAAACTGCTATGTAAACCTTCACTAAAAATACAATAAACATTATTTTATAAAAAGAAAAAGAAAGAAAGAAAGCCATGTTCTTTTGGGGTGATGGCTGGGAAAACACAGGGTGGAGGCTGATTTCTCATGTCTTTGCTCTAGGGCTTGTGATGCATAATTATAGAAGTATATATTCATCTTGGCTCATTCTAGAAGGATTCGTCTGTGTTGGAAGATAACAATGTGACATCCGAATTGAACTCTTAATGTGCTATCTAGGGAAAAGAAGAAATGATTCCAATAGGGCTGACATCTGTAGCCTGGGTGATCTGATAGTATTTCCCTGCAAATCCCTCAGCCTGGAAGACCTTTCTGGAATAAAGTTGAAAGTAGTAATTAATCTTCTCACTTCAATAAAGAGGGAAGAAAAGACTTCTTGCCACCTAGAGACTCTTGCAACCCTCACATACATAGATAGGTAAATCCCTGCCCAGATCACCTCCTACTTAATCCCACATTTACATTTCTGGGTTTCTATATCCATGTTGCTTTTCCTTTCCTACCTTACTTCCAAAGAGTTAACTTAAAAAGCAATTCTTTGACAGACTGGCATTTTTACTCTTGCAAGTTAAATATATATATATATATTATAGAGAGAGAGGTAGGTCCCTAGGTGGTGCAAATGGTTTGCGCTTGACTACTAACCTAAAGGTTGGAGGTTCTAACCCAGCCATTGGTGCCATGGAAGAAAGGCCTGGCCATCTGCTTCCATAGAAGTCACAGCCTTGGATTAATCTGAAAAACATCTCACAACACGGCTGAATCTGGAGGGCATTATGCTGAGTGAAATAAGTCAATCACATAAGGACAAATACTGTATGAGACCACGATTATAAAAACCCAAGAAAAGGTTTACACACAGAAAAAAAGCAATCTTTGATGGTTATGAGGGAGGGGAAGGGTGGGGAGGGAAAATCACTAACTAGATAGTAGAAAAGTGTTAAGTCTGGTGAAGGGTAAGACAGTATACATTACTGGGGAAGTCAGCACAACTTGACCAAGGCAAAGTCATAGAAGCTTCATAGACACATCCAAACACCTTGAGGGGCTGAGTTACTGTGGCTGAGGGCTGGGGACCACGGTCTTGGGGGACATCTGGGTCAATTTGGCATAACATAATTGTTGTGGATTGAATTGTGTCTCCCAAAAATGTATATCAACTTGGCTAGGCCATGATTCCCCATGTTGTGTGATTGTCCACCATTTTGTCATCTGATGTAATTTTTCTATGTGTTGTAAATCTTACCTTTATGATGTTAATAAAGCAGGACTGGAGGCAGGACTCAGTCTACAGAATTGGGATGTATCTTGGGTCAATCTCTTTTGAGATATGGAAGAGAAAGGTGAGCGGAGACACGGTGGGACCTCATACCACCAAACAAAAAAAGCCAGTAGCGTTCGTGTCCTTTGGACCCCGGGGTCCCTGCACTGAGAAGCTCCTAGACCAGGGAGAGATTGATGACAGGGACCTTCCTCCAGAGCCGACAGAGAGAGAAAGCCTTCCTCTGGAGCTGGTGCCCTGAATTCAGACTTCTAGCCTACTAGACTATAAGAGAATAAATCTCTGTTTATTAAAGCCATGCACTTGTAGTATTTCTGTTATAGCAGCACTAGATAACTAAGACAATAGTTCATGAAGAAAATGTTCTACATTCTACTTTGGTGAGTAGCACCTGGGGTCTTAAAACTTGTGAGCAGTCATCTGAAATACTTCTGTTGGTCTCATCCTGTCTGGAGCAAAGGAGAATGAAGAAAACGAAAGACACAAGGAAAATCTTAGTCCAAAGGACTAAAGGACCACATGAGCCACAGCCTCCACCAGGCTGAGCCCAGAAGAACTAGATGGTGCCCAGCTACCACCACCGACAGCTCTGACAGGGATCACAATAGAGGATCCCGGACAGAGAGGAAGAAAAAAGTAGAACAAAATTCAAATTCACAAAAAAAGACCAGACTTATTGGTCTGACAGAGACTGAGAAACCCTCAGAGTATGGCCCCCAGACACCCTTTTAACTCAGAACTGAAGTCACTCCTGAGGTTTATTCTTCAGCTAAAGATTAGACAAGCCTATAAAACAAACTGTAGCACACGTGAGGAACGTGTTTCTTAGTTCAATCAAGTACACGTGACCAAATGGGCAACACCTGTCCAAAAGCAAAGATGAGAAGGCAGGAAGGGACAGAAAAACTGGATGAATGGACACGGGGAACCTGGGGTGGAAAGGAAAGGGGGAGAGTGCTGACACATTGCGGGGATTGCAACCAATGACACAAAACAATTTGTGTATAAATTTTTTAATGGGAAACTAATTTGCACTGTAAACTTTCACCTAAAGCACAATAAAAATTTTTTTTTAAATTTCATAGCCTTGAAAACCCTATGGAGCATATGGAGCAGTTCTACTCTCTAACACTTGGGGTCGTCATGAGTTGGAATCAACTCAACAGCAATGGGTTGGGTGGTGCAAACAGTTAAACACTCAGCTGTTAACTGAAAGGGTGGTGGTTTGAACCCACCTAGAGATGCCTCAGAAGAAAGACCTGGTGATCTGCTTCCAAAAGGTCACAGCCATGAAAACCCTATGGAGTTTGACAACAGAAATTGGTGATGATTGCACAACACGATTGATGTATTTTTTTAAATTTTATAGTGCTTTAGGTGAAAGTTTACATTTTCTCATTCAAAAATTAATACACAAATTGTTTAGTGACATTGGCTGCAATCCCCTCTATGTGTCAGCACTCTCCCCCTTTCCATTCCACCCCAGGTTCACTGGGTCCATTTGTCCACTTTTCCTGTCCCCTCCTGCCTTCTCATCTTCGCTTTTGGGCAGATGTTGCCCATTTGGTCTCATTTACTTGATTGAACTAAGAAGCACATTCCTCACGTATGTTATTGTTTGTTTTATAGGCCTGTCTAATCTTTGGCTGAAATGTGGACCTCTGGAGTGGCTTCAGTTCGGAGTTAGCAGGGTATCCAGGGGCCATAGTCTCGGGGCTTTCTCCAGTCACCGTCAGACCAGTAAGTCTGGTTTTTTGGTTTTTGTTGGGGTTTTTTTTTGTGTGTGTGTGAATTTGAATTTTGTTCTACATTTTTCTCCCACTTTGCCTGGGACCCTCTATTGTGATCCCTGTCATAGTGGTCAGTGGTGGTAGCCGGGCACCATCCAGTTCTTCTGGGCTCCGGCTGGTGGAGGCTGTGGTTTGTGTGGCCCATTAGTCCCTTGGATTATTTTCCTTGTGTCTTTGGTTTTCTTCATTCTCCTTTTCTACGGAAGGGATAGGATCAATAGATATATCTTAGATGGCCGTTTGCAAGCTTTTAAGACCACAGATGCTACTCATCAAGTAAGATGTAGAACATATTCTTTATGAACTATGTTATGCCAATTGACCTAGATGGGCGTAATTGGTTTTATGGAATCCTATACATGAAAAAATATTGAATTGGCAAATATTGTGCTCTATATTTTTACCCAAAAAAGTCTATGGAGCACAGTTCTACCCTG